AGAGGCAGATGCAGATTTTACTTTAGAAGCAGAGTCCAGGAAATTAGCATTAATTAAATAGACAGAAGATGAAATACTCCAGTAAGCACTCTGGATCTCCACTCTCCTCCCCCGTCCTGCCTCCAGCTTGTACATGCACTTCTCACAGTCCCACCAGCTCCCCACCTCCCATTGCCCGTCCAAGCTTACCAGGGGCATGGGGTGGCAAGGAGGAGGATGGAGCTGGTGTGAGAGTAGGGGGCTCAGAGCAGTGGGAGCATGTGGGCGGTCAGAGCAATGGGTGTGATGGAGGGAATGCTGGAGCAGTGTCAGAGCAGTGGTGGTGTAACACCTTTGGGACCAGTAAAACCACACTGGGCACAGTGGGGAATGTGCGTAGGGTGTTGAAGCAGTACAATGAAGAGTGGTGTAGAAAGGAGAGGGTCAGAGATGCAGAGTGAGGGTTGTTGGGGGCTTCTGCTCTGTGCCCCCAAATTCCCCCCACCCCCAGGTCTGTCTCCCCATCTGAAAAATGCCTCTACTTACTCCATGCTAGTCTCCGGACTCTTCCTGCATCCTTTCCCCAGCTCCTCAACCTGCAGGTCCCATTCTAACACCCACCTCTCTATAAGGAGGAGGCTGAGGAGGGAGAACTGGGCTGTGGTGGACACGCAGAGAGACAGGAAATGATACAGGGGCAGTGAAGCGACTAACATGCGGCCAGTGCATTCTGTGGGCTGGATAATCATTGCCAAGGAGCCAGAGGCAGTGGAGGGGGAGAGTTGGGTGGTGGTACATGGGGATGCAGAGACATACTTGCAGAGAACAAACCAAATGCCCAAAATCTTTGTTAACACGGAGTTAGCTTGGTGGTACCTTGTGCCCTTTTGGAACATTGTGTTCAGCTAACCTCAAACCTCTGAAAACCATAATATACAGAGTTATGGTTCATGCCATCCCTGCAACGCATCCTTAGCGCTGCCCTTTATGAGTGATGCTCCAGTACACCAGTAACACCCCCTCCTCAGCATTCTGATTTTACAGATGCTGGGAGCTGAGCGCATGGGCACTGTAGGACAGATTTCCCCAAAGTAAAGATGCAATTTATTCACACAGAAACGATACACAGAGTGATCAGATGGGCTCATAAAGGATCAGATTCTCCCTTACTCACATTGAGTAGTGCCTTATTCAGTGAGTAGCCGTCATGAAATGAAAAGGGCAACTTGGGAAGTAAGGCACTACTTGGCCAGAGTAAGAACGGCAGAATCTGGCACTACAAATTTAGTACAAAGCTATAAATCAGATCCCAATACCATTAACCGTCACAATAAGAAGGGCCAGATTCTCAGCTGGTGGAAACCGGCACAGCACCACCGACTTCAGTCTGAGAATCTGGTGCAAAGTTAGGAGTTCCGACACCAAAACAAGACCATATTGGGAGGAGTTCAAGTCACCCAATTATCCTTATTGTACCAGCAGATGTGTTACTTGAGCTCTGCAGCCAAATACATTCTGCTCTATCACCATCTCCATCCTGGAGAGCTCCTCAAACACAACTCAGCTTGAGGTTTGCAGCGAAATGATTTTCACCCTGTGAACTCCCAGGATGCTGGGATGAGCAACACGGGTGCTGCTTTCTTTTTCACAGCTCTCCTAATACGCGTTGCCTCTTTAATGTAGTGCCCTTGCCACCTTTTCTGCTACAGAGCAGCTGCAACACAGAAGACCAGGGGGTTTGCTGTGATTTGCCAGTGGTCAGATCTAACATTCTTTTCTATTCTTTCCACTCAAAGTTAAGCCTGGAAATAATACATTTTTGGTTTTTATCTCTAACGTGCCCGATTCAGTAATGAACCGAATGCTAACCTTTATACAGCAAGAAGGGCACTTTATTTCACATCCAGCCAAGTGCCAAATAGCCTTCCCAGCTTCAAAAACTAATTATATCAGGAGAGGCACGACTGTTCTTTCCTTCCTGTCCTTGCCAAGTTCCAAACTACTATAATATGCTCAATCAGGTCCCTTTTGTCTATCCAACCACACAAGAATATTAATGGGGAGATTCACCCACTCCCTACCCTGACTTTTGACATCTAATCACAACAGAGATAGTGGCAGGTTAAAGACAACAGAATCAATCACTGTTAACAGAGATATGCATGAGGTTTTTGTAACGACACTATTTTGATTCTTCACTCTAATTAAGCTAATGAGTCACAGGAAACCTAAGGAAAAGAAAAAATTAACAGTACTCCCCACCCCGCCATCCTCCAAAGACTAGTGTTAAAACTACAGAACATAACTGAATTAATATACTTAAAGGGATATTGTCAAATAGTTTAAGTACAACAGTGGCAAGGTGTTGCTCCCTCCCCAGACTGGGTGCCTGGCACTGCCTTGCTTCAGTTTCTTTCCTTTCAATCAAAATGCTACACAGCAGGGATGGGGGGTGGAGGGTGTTTCAAATCAGATCTCTGGGATCTGATTTATTAGCAAAACATTCACCTCCACACAAGTCTTTTTCCAGGCTCCAATAGTCCACCCAGCCCTCTCCCCAGTGCTTGCTCCCTTTACTGCTAACATAGTCCTAACATCCCATGGAGAATTTCACAGGAGAAACTCTTCCTATCACACACCTTAGTCTCTGCTGTCTTCCCACTGCTGCCCTCCTAGACAGAGTGAGAGAGAGACATCCCCTGCCTCCCTGCTGACTCTGCCCCCCCTTAGTGCTACTGCCCTTGGTGCACCCCAGCTGTGCCTTTCCCAGGCTTAACTCTTTCCCTGCTAGCTCAGGAAGAAGGTCTGTGCACCTTGTCGTACCAATACATGAAGACGGTTAAATAGCAAGGTAATATGCATCTTTAAAATACCTTGGATGATTAGATAACAAACAATTGGACCTAGCAGGGTCATGAGTCAGTGAGAAATTAACCTCCACCTGAATTTCTGTGGGACCCATAAAAACAATGTATTGTTTCCCCCTAGCTCTGCGGCAACAATTAGACAGTGAATGTTATTCCCAGAGTTGCTCTCATATATCGATGCTACCAAGGTGTAAACAATGACAGAAGCAAAAAAACACATTAACTTGAGCTCTCAGAGTAATGATGACAGCAATTAGCTAAATGGGAAAATAAGACAAAAACTGGAGAAAGAATTAAATGCTATTTTCCAGCTTCCAGGAGAAATTAGACATCGAATAGCTTCCTAAGGAAAGTTTATAAGTCACATTGCTTATGAAGAAATGTCAATCAATGGATAGTAAAATTAAAAAATAAGAAAAAAAAACTGACATTAAGGTTGAAATCTTGGGGGCACCATTGAAGCTGATGAAAATTTTGCTACTCATTTCAATGTGGCCAGGATTTTATCCTAAGACTTTAACTTCGATCGGTATGATCCAGCATTAGCCATAAGAAAACCAAATAGTGGAAGGAAAGGAAAGATGTAAAGACCAGCTTTAACTTTAGCTGTGGGAAAGGAGGGATAATTCATGAAGGCTAAAACCATAAGAATTGCAAGTTTACTTCACAAGCAATACATGCTTTTCTCTCCCAGACTCCCAAATATCAAACAGAATTTTTAAAATATACTGACACCAATACAGCATGAGCAAAGAGTTCTTCAACTACCCGTGATTTACGTTGTTAATCATTCCTTTCTCTAAACTGCATCATCTTTATTTTATCGTTCTTGCATTCACTGAATAAGTAAAAAGATAATTTGGGTGAATTAGATTAATTTTAAACAGCTTCACTTGCTCTTACAATATTATAGCTAAATGCCAATCAAAGAAATGATGAACAGTGATGGGAAAGCACAGGCTTGTGGCTAACCAGAAATGTAAAGATGACTAGCTTCTTCAGCATAAGCCAATGATTCATAGACACTGACTGTTGTTCACTGTGAAGCAATCTGATCATTTGTCTTTTAAATAGTTTGGAACGTTACATGTTTTGGTTCGTGTTAATATGGAAGATAAAAACCACCATGCTGTTTGGGTTTAGGTGATCTTCCAAAGATTCCCATTGAGGTTTGCTAGTAGCTGGGAAGAGTCTTAGGATATGTTTACATTGAAATTGGAGGTGTGATTGCAACCCAGGTAGTGTGGCTGAAAATAGTGGAGAAGACACTGTGGCATGGAACCAGAAGCAGGCTAGCAACGTGAGTGAATACGCAGGGTTCTGGGCAGGCATGCAAGCCTGTGCTGCTGTGCCTTCATTGCTATTTTAGCTAGATTGAAGCTAATGCGGCTATGCCTACCGAAGCTGCAATCACACCTTTGATTCCAGGTAGACACATCCATCCATAATCCATTCTGTAACGGACTGGCCCTCATTGCAGCTCCATCCCCACTTGTTCTCAGCTTTCCCATTCAGTGACCCCCAATGTCCTGTGACCACCATCGCCCCTTTCGCTTCCCATGAACCCAAAGCTCCCTTTGTGCCAGTTCCTGTCATGGTTCAAAGGGCTCCCAGCAGAGATAGAATTCCACTCCTTTTCTTTTCCTCCCGCCTGGCTCTCGGGAGTGGAAGATCTCCACTTCCTCCTCTCTCCATCCTGGCTGTTAGGAAAGGGATAACTAAGGGCAGGTTTCTCTGCCCACCCACAGCAAGCAGAGCACATGTCGATGGAGCTCAGCAACATATCAAGAAGTATGAGATTCCTGCTGGTGACCTGCTTCAAGACTGCAATCCACAGAATAGGAATCATTACAAGTATTAGGCAGTTGCACAGGGATTCTTTGTACTGTTACATCCCAGTTCAGCAAGCCACTTCAGCATGTGCTTAACTTTAAACTCATGCATAAGTCTCATGGAATTAAATGGCACTTAAGTCCATGCTTAAATGCTTTGCTGAATAAGAATGGACTTAAGCATATGCATAAGTGGTTTATGATCTGGGGTCATAAACACTAGCCAAACTTTAAAAAGAAAGAGGTAATTTGTATAACTATAATCCATTGTTGTTACCGTAGCGTCAAGGCGTATTAGAACATCAACTAAAAAATATGTTACCTTATAAAGTCTTCCTCTTCTTCTCTCTTTGGTCTGAGTTGCTTGGGCTGGGCCATGTTGATCCAGTTGGGCAGAGACTTCAAGAGCCTGGTAATGTCGTCATCTTTTGCCCAGGATGCACTGATAACCAGCTTTTCATCTGACTGAGCAATGCTCCTAAGTGAAACCAACAATGGTTACGTTAGGAAAAGGGCAAGTCTTACTTGTCGTGTGGGTAATGGCTTCACAGATATTTGATACTCTCTCCTTTACATTATAAAAATGTACAGTACTAATGAACATTCCATGAGGAGGTCAACAAAGAGTGTAACTCTCCATTTATCCACAGGATGGCAGCAGTAAGGGCAGCTGCAGTGCAAGATTCTCCACACTGCCCCCTGCCTATGCACTTCCATTATGTTCTTTGAAGGGACAATAGAGGTAAGATCCTCAGATTCCTTGAAGTCAATGGTGCTACACTGACTTACACCACATGAAGAGTTGAGAGAATAGCTGATTTTTTTTTTGGTGGCTGAACTGAAAAATCCCGCCAAATTCAGTTAGTTTTGAACCTAAACAGATTTTTGTTTTTGTTTTTTCTTACCAAAAGAAAAACAAACAAATACAAAAAACAGTTTCTGGTTGAACAAAATGTTTCAGTCAGCCTTAAATGAATTTTTTTCACTTTTTTGTTACGATGCAGGTTTTCCACTCTTTTTTGGTTTCCTTCAAATAAACATAGTTACATTTCAAAACACAGTTTCAAAACGAAAAGCTGAAAGGGGTCTTTTGAAAATGTTGAAACAAACCATTCTGACTTTTAAAAAAAATCTTTATTTTTGATTTGGCTGAAACTGAATTTGACCCCAAACTGCATTTTCACCGAATTTACTATTCAACCAAAATTTTTTGCTCATCTCTAATCTTGTCTAATACGGGCAGAGGGTAGTTTAGTCTCCATGGCTCATTTGCTCTTTGGAATTTCTGCTGAGATTGCTAACTAGTGCCAACTCTGCCATGACCTCATGCCATATGGGTATCTGTCCAGCAAGGACTGGGTGAAAACCATCAACTTATTTCATACTAGTTGTCAGACAGTTGTCCAATGGTAGTAGCTTTGGGAGTATATCTGAGGCAGTGGCTAGGAGATTAATGGTTCTGTATCCTACTCCCAGTTGTTTGAAGCATCTAATATGAGATATATCAGCTAAACACTTTGTGTAGACCTGAATCAAAGATTATACTGCATTCTAATTACAAAGACTTTCCTGTTTAACATTTTTGGCAGTATAACGAATGTCTATGCTCTTGAAAACCATGCTGGTAATTCCAGGTGACAGAAGGGACATTTCATATAAAGGTGCTGATTAGCGCCTCTTTTCCCAGCTGAAATTACGCAGGGATGAATAGCAGCATATGACCTAGCACATATAACCTCCCCACTTGTTCTCCACTGACCACCAGTGCCCCAGTTGGAGGAAATTAAGAACCATGCATTGGTGGGCTTCACTTCTTGTGAAGTGGTCAGTAGTTTGAAAGGAGCTGAGAAACACTGCTCTAGTGGTTAAAGGAGGGGAGTGCGAGTCAGAGTTCACAGGCTCACGGGCTGTGTTCCAGCTCCATCACTGACTTTCTGTGTGACCTTAAGCAGGTCCCTAAAGCTTTCTGTGCTTCTGTTGGTCCATCTATGAAGTCTATGCATGGTGAGCAGCAGGTTGTGGATGTGGAGGCTACATGCAGGTCCCAGTAATGTTAACAGCAAGGTAGTGTGTGTGGCAGTCAAGCCCCTTGTGTACTCACTCTTACTCTGAGGAGCATGGGGTAGGCAGAAAATGGGCAGGGTATGAGAAGAAAGGAAACATCTCAAGAGACATGGGTTTAAGCATGATCCTCCTCCTACTGAGATGTTGAGCTACAGATTAAAGCTGAATCAAGTTCCCCTCAGCTTCCAGCACAACTCATCGCTTCTCATCCCACCTGCACTGGGCCTAAATGAGAATACCACACCTCCCAGAGGGGTAGTAAGAATCTAATTAATTAATGTTTGCAAAATGTTTTGAGACCCTTAAGATGGAAGGTGCTGAAGAAGTATACCTGTTATGTTCCTTATTTCCAGTTAGTGCAATGGGAACCCTAAGGATATTTGCCCCAGACCTGCCAATGGCTGGTATGGCCTTGACACAAAACCCACCTTCTCTAACACCAACTTAAAACACTTCCGTCATTAGCCAAGGGTTAGTGACTAACTGGTGATTTTTGAGAGGCTTTATGGTGTGTGGAAAATCCACCCTTATTTTAAATGCATTGAAGGTATGTTATGGTAAAGGAAAGGGGGTAAAAGAAATTAAATTCACCCAGTGTTTATGAGCTGCTAAAAGGAATATAGTGAAAATGGCAATGAGGCATCACGAGACAACACAGATTTGCCTCTAAATGGGACAGATTACCTTCTCTCGCCACGAACACCCATCAACTCATTGTACCTTTCAAGCAACACCAAGAAGGCAACCCTAAATTCTCAAATACACACCATTTGCGAAAGTGAATCGCTTGCTGCTTGTCACATATACTTGCAGACGAGCTTCACTTTTCTACCCTAATATTTCATGTTTAATCTGCCACGGAGAAAATGAAGCACTTTTGTTTTCAGCAGCACAAGATCTCAATGTCTGAATATCAATTTTGCCTCCTACTGCTATTTGGAACTTTGCATTTTTTCACTGGTAAAAATGGAATCTAACTCAAACCTGATTTCAAAAACACTCCACAAACAACCCAACAACAAAGCAAAAATGCAGGGAAAAGTTGTCTTGAACAAAAATGCTGCACCATTGTATACAGAGTCAGAAATCAATGTTTCCTATTAATTTATTATTAAATTATTATTATTAGACATTTGAGATAGAAAAGGCAAATGAGGTCATTTCTGTCCATTTCCCCTGCTAATGCAGGATGACTGTTCCCTATACTATATTAGCTAGTGCTTTGTCCAGTCAAAATTTAAATGACTGAAGCAATGGAACTACTACTACTTCCTTGAAAGTCTATTTCACAGTCGAACAAATCTAACTCTGGGGGAAAAAAACCCTGATACGATGTCTACGTTTTTCTCAGCTTAATTTTATTCCATTACTCCCAGTTACATCCCTGGTAACAGCCTCAATTCCTCACTGCCCTTACTGTTCACACTCTTCAATTATTTATAGACCATTATCATATCCTTTCAGATGCCTAGGATTGAATGCACTCTTCGGGAGCATTCTCACCAGCACTGTACAGAGAAAGACACAGTTACCTGTCTGCTTTACAATGTGAGACATCAGCTGCTCAAAATCACATGGGCTTTTTTGTTTTGTCACTGCCATACTGAACTGCAAGCTCAGATCCAATGTATTGTCTGTCTATTCTTTTCTAGCATCATGGCCTTTCAAGAGTCTTTTTCCTATTGTTCTTGATTATCTGGCTTCAGAAGCATTAGTTTGTATCCTTCACTTTTGCATTATATCCTGTTCATGGGGCCATATACAACTGGTGCTTTAAACAGAACTCTCATGTATGTGTGCAACACCTCCTGATTTTATTGACCTGCTGTTTTTACTCCATTTACCCGCTCATTAGTGGAGATGTTAAATAGGATGAGAGCTAGCACTAATCCCTGTGGTAACTCACCAGATATCCAGCCTCTACCATCAACTGCATGGCCCTTTACCAGTACCCTTCCTTTGGTCTTTCATCTGGATTTCAGTCTACATAATAACTTCAAGTGTTGATCTAACTTAGATCTTTAATAACACATCATAAGACACCATGAAAAGCTTTACTAGAGTCCAGAATAGTTATTTACAAATACCCCTCCCGCCATAAAAAACCCTGTGCAATTACTCTGCTACAGTAATGGGGTTAATCATTATCACCAGTGCCATAATCTGCTAATTAATTCACAGCTCAATGGGCCACAGACAGAGCCATCTGTGTGGCTGTTTGTACGGAGCTCCCAGGAGGGGGCAGGAAAATAGGTGTAACACTTGAACAGGTGATGGTGCACCGTTGAGAAGGGCCCACCCCTCCATAGCTCAGCGAGTTTTATTCATAAAACATCTGCCAGTGGTAGTAGCCACAGATTCGCACCGTTTCCCCTTTGGAGCAGTTGTGCAGAGTGATTGCTAATGGTCTCTGGACACAGCTGGGGTGCCAAGCCTTTTCATTAGGAAAACAACTGGGGGCCAGAGGGGCTAATTGGATTCAGTTATTTCATGACAAACGCAGTCGGGAACGATATTTTCTTTTGCAGGACCAAGGTAGAAGCTACTCCGAACTTTAGCAATTGGTGATTCATAACCGTTTCCACGCTGTGATTTGTCCATGCTGGTGAGTGTTTAGAATCTATTATTAATGTGTGCTCAATACGAGCCAAAGACAGGTCCCTTCCCTGAAAAGCGTACATGTCTAAATAGACAATGTACAAGCCAAAAACATACATACAAAACAGTGGGAGAAAGAAGCAAATAACAGCCACTCTTTAGGATGGAGTGAAGATGTCCGCTGGTTCGGACACCAGCCTGAGATACTGGAGACCCTGGGATAAATTCCCTGTTCAGCTGCAGACTTCCTGCATGACTATGAATGAGTCACGTAGGGTACGTCCACATTGCAACTAGGAGGTGTGACTGCAGCACGTGCAGAAATACCCAAGCTATTCTTCTGGTCCTAGCTAGATCAAAGCTAGTTTGAGTAACAATGGTAGTGAAGCTGCAGTGATATAGCTGGGTGCATGGGCTAGACCTGCCCACCTACAACCTTGGGTACACAGCTGAGCGGCCTCCCTGGCTTTACTGCTATTGTTACTTGAGCTAGCTTGATCACAGCTATCTTGGCTATGTCCACAGGTGTTGCAATCACATTTCCCGATTGCAGGGTAGACATACCCTAAGTCTCTTTGTGCCTTGGTGGCACAGCAGGAATCAGTCTTTGGAAAAAATGTTTGTAGGGAATTAGAGGACTCTCTGAGGGACTGAGGGTGAGGACAGGTTGCCTGAAAGAGTTAAAAGAGGAAATCTGGCAGCTCTAACAGGATAAATCACCAAGAAAAGCTAAGGTCAGCTAGCTGGTTTGTGGTGAAAGAGGAACATGGTGAGGAACTAAAAGAGGAAGGATTGATTGGAATCAACAAAAATGGGCAGCCACGTTGATGTGGTTAGGTCTTTTCCAGTTCCTAAAACATCATATTGTTCTTTGTTGATATCCCCCAGCCCAGCGACAATCCTTTGGTAAAGACTGATTCGATTCAGCAAGAGACCATATTATTGATCTGGCTATGTCACAATACCAGGGCAGGGGAAGCTGGCAAATGTTTTTTTAGTAATATTTCACTCCAACATTAAAAAAAACAAAAACGCAAATTTCACTCTGGGCCATTTTTCGGTCCCCAATTTTGCTTTCCATGAAACACTCGTGAATGCACTCTTTGCATCCAAACATGAATTTTCAAAATGTCGTTTTTCAGGATGAAAACTGACCTTTGCCAACATGAACATTTTAAATTTAAGAAACTTTCAAGGAACATAGGACTTGCCAGATTAGCTTAGAACCAAGGTGCAGCTAGGTTAATGCTCTTTCTCTGACTGTGGCCAGTATCTGATGCTTTAGAGGAAGAGGTCAGTGCCCCACAATAGGCGGATATGGGATAATCTGGCTCCCACATTAGGGCTGACTTAAACCCTGAAGCACAAGGCTTAATAATCCTGCCAAAGTTTGTTGTCTTTAATTATGACAACATGGGGTTTTCTTGATATCTACATACATATTTGAATCTTGTTAGGTTCTTGTCCTCACTGGAAAATTAAAATAAAACTGAAACGGAACTGGAAAAGCCTCAGATTTCAAGTTTCTGGCACAATGTGAACATTTCACATGGTCTATATCAGTCCCCTCTACCAAAGAATGAGTTTCACTTTCAGGATTCATGCAACCTTTGTCATAGGGCAGCTGAAAAACATGGGTCCATTCCTCCAAATCAGAACACTCTGGTTCGGAATAGCCATGAATAAGTCCAGTGCTCCATACAATTCAATTCTGCTCTATACCCGCTTCGTCAAAGGAAGGTTTAAGAAATGCTGCAGGGTACAGTTAGGATTCTATACATCCAGGGAAAGTTTCTTCCTAACCACCAAAACATCACTATTAAACAATAGCTATTACATGACTAAAGCTGAAAGGATTCAGGATATTGGTCATTTGGTAATCTGTACACAGCAGATTCACCACGTGACTAGAGAGGACCATATGGGCTATTTGAATTATTTTTTCTATTAGAAACACACATACACAAAGCCAAGCTAATGAACCAACTGCACAAGTCTTCTATTATTTACCTTTCTAGCTTATAAAGAGCCTGTCAACATGGCGTCTCACTCTGTATACTACTTAGTAAGACTTGCAATGTTCATATTTGTGGTTTCCCTGAACTCCAAAGAAAATGGTAGCTCCCTTATACTGTCATTTGCTGCCCACCATCTCTATCATGCACACACAAAAACTTCCTTCCCAGAAAGCCCTTTGACTTAACCCTTATTGTACTGCCACTTAAACAACTTAAGCTGTAAATTTGTAGGGCCAGATGCTTAGGTGGAGTTCCACTGACTTTGAAGGAGCTGATTTTCATCAGTTGAAGATTTAGCCTTAATATTTCCAAATATTACCAATGTTTGAAGGTGGGTCCATTAAGGCTAATTGTTGGTTCACCTCTGCCCTTCCCAAAAACCTTGGGGGAAAACCATGGTTCACAGGGCAAGAGCTTTGGCGACATGAGAGCTCCCAGCAGGGGGCATTGCTACCTTATGGATTTGATCATCTCTTTGCAATATCTCAAGCTACTCTCTCTCACACACACGTATATGAAAATAGGGGTAGCAGAATTTCTCCTGTCCCTGTTATGCTCTTCTGAATCATGTGAACTGTATATAGATTTCTATTTCCGTCAGTCATTTGCTAGCAGCAAAACTAGAACATTTCCTGTTTTTCCTCCTGCTGTAATCAGGATATGGTAGTCCAAATTAGTGCTGTCCTAATTACTCCTCAGCAGGTGTCAGTCCTAGGGATGGTGTCAAGCAAGCAAGCAAGCAAGATCCTTTATCAAATTCGACCAACAGCTGTAAAGAAATTACTTCCCACTGCCTGATTTCGGTCCATAAGGTTTATTGAAACAGGCATAATAAAGGAACATTAATTGTAATAATACATAATATATATGTATATAGACACGCACACCACACGTGTATGTATATGGTGTTAATAATATTCCCATAGGTAGCCCATAACCAGATGACTCTCTTCTAAATGAAATCAGGCAATAAGAAATAATTTCTTAACACTACAGGTTGAAACATGCAAAGGGATTTTACTACTTTCCCTGCTACCACCAGCTTCAATTAGCTCTTAAAAGGTACTATATATGGTACTAATATGGCCCACATTACCATAGTACCTGAGCACTTCATAGTCTTTAGTGTTTTTATCCTCACAACACCCCTGTGAAGCTTTTATCCCCATTTTACAGATGGGGGAACCGAGACACGGGGAGACTAAGCCACTTGCCCAAGGTCACAGAGGAAGTTGGTGGCAGAGAAGGGAATTAAACCAGAGTCCCCTGAGTCCCAGGCTAGCATACTAACCACTAGCACATCCTTTATTTCCTAGCCTAGGTCCCATGTGGTGGTGCTGTTAGACTTCAGCCCCAGAAGAGGCTGCTCCTTAGGGATGGATGAATTCAGTCCTGTATGTAAGCACTTTAGGATCCTTTGGGGAAAATGGTGCTATAGAAATGTTAAATGTTTTTAATATTAAATAAAATCCTGTGTATACTGTGTGCATATATTATAGCCACGGACTTCAAAGCTGTTTAGGGGACTTGGATGCCCAGATTCATTAAAATGAATAGGAACTGGGCACTGAAACCAGCTGGCTTTAAAAATCTCATTCTATATATCTTGAGAAATCGTAATATGAAAGGATTCAACTTGTTTTCTCACTGCATGGAGCCAAGTATAACAGAGCTGATGTGATCAGATGGTTATGGAGACCACACATTTTCCACCCTTCTTTCCCTGATCTCCATCTCTCTGATTAAGAAAAAGGACGTGTTTCTTTGGATTCTACCAACCACCTGCATCGGTGTTTTTGGAAAGTATGCATATGGGTGTGAGAAGTCACTGGGTCTTCCCAGCCTCTTGGATGGCTATTATCTCAGATTTCTCTCCCACCCACTAACCAAGCAGACAAGCTTTCCAGGAGGAAGTAACTCCATTCTGCACATACTGAAATAAAATAACACTTCAGATCTACACATCTTTCATCTTAATCCTCCCCAACAATTTTGTGAGGTAGGGCTCATTCTCCTTATTGTATAGGAAGGTCTTGTTCCCTGGGCTAGGCTGTACCTGTAGGCAGTAGTGCAGGTTTCCTTGTAGTCCTGGAGCTTCACACACACCATGTTGAGAAACTGATCTGAATAAGCACTCAGGTCATGCATCAGGTTCATGAGGTCCTGTACTGTCTTCTCCACAATTACTGTACTCTGGAAAAGAAAGAGCATGGTGACACTACATTTTCCATACAACAAATGGAAGAAGATGTGGAGAATAGGCAAGAGAACCACAGATCACGGAAGGGATGGGTGTGACAATATGCTGGGGAGCCATTGTGTTACCCCTCTCAGTCCCAGCAAGTGGGAGGTTTGCTGTTGCTAAGCTCCTTGACACACCAACTTATGTGGCTTGCCAGCAAACTCTTCAGGACTCTGCCAGCCCAAACCTTGCCTAGCATTAAGCAATCAGTGCCCCCCAATTCCAGAGTTCTGCGGAGATGTCCATCTGCAATGCTCAGCCTCTCTGACTGTAGCACCTACAAAACCTTATCAACTTTGCTGCTCCTTTAAAAGAGACAGTACACAAGAGCTTATGACCTTAACTGGGGTTAACATACCCTCCATTTCAATCAAAGCACGCATTTGATTCATGGTAAAAGTAATAATAATAATAATAATAATAATAATAATAAATGGAGATATCCCATCTCCTAGAACTGGAAGGGACCTTGAAAGGTCATTGAGTCCAGCCCCCTGCCTTCACTAACAGGACCAACTACTGATTTTGCCCCAGATCCCTAAATGGCCCCCTCAAGGATTGAACTTACAACCCTGGGTTTAGCAGGCCAATGCTCAAACCACTGAGCTATCCCTCCCCCCCCCCGAGTAAAACAAGTTTATGAACAAAATGACACGGATTTAAGTGATATCAAGTATAAGGATTGAAATAGTTACAAACAAACAAAAGTAAAAACACACCTGTAAGACTTCAGTCTAGCTTAACAAACTACAGCCCTTTGTTCAAAGATGTTTTTTTTACCAGTCTTTCCTCCAGCATGGCTGATTAGACCTTTAGCTCTTCTGGTGAAGGATAATGTAGGGGTTCGCTCCCCCTCTCTTTACAGTCCAGTAAGCCTTTGAAATGTATCCTTCTAAAATGTATGCCTAGATAAAGTTCCTTTCCCCTGCTGATTGTAGACGCCATGATGGTCCGTCCCCTCCTGGTGATTTTTACAATGAAAATTATCTCTTCCTGTAACCTCTAATACAAATGAATAGCCCACTGAATTTGGCCCTGCCTGGTCTGAGGTGTTGGCCTCTTTCCTTTGTCTGAAGAAAACCCATTTATCAACTCTCCCGGGTCTGCCTGGTTTAAACACATTTTAGTCACATATTTCCAGCACATCTGTAAAGTTCTTTGCGGATTATCCATCCATACATAGAATCAAAGAATATCAGGGTTGGAAGGGACCTCAGGAGGTCATCTAGTCCAACCCCCTGCTCAAAACAGGACCAATCCTCAACTAAATCATCCCAGCCAAGGCTTTCTCAAGCCTGATGTTAAAAACTTCTAAGGAAGGAGTTTCCACCACCTCCCTAGGTAACCCATTCCAGTGCTTCACCACCCTCCTAGTGAAAGAGTTTTTCTTAATATCCAACCTAGACCTCCCTCACTGCAGCTTGAGACCACTACTCCTTGTTCTGTCATTTACTATCACTGAGAACAGTCTAGATCCATCCTCTTTGGAACCCCTTTCAAGTAGTTGAAAGCAGCTATCAAATCCCCCCACATTCTTTTCTTGTGCAGACATCATGAAAGAAAATTAAGATCAGTGAGTTACTAGTTTTCCAATGATATGTTACAATGCCAAGCTTTGGGTAAATATCACGGCAACAGCGTGCCATATGGCATTGGGGTAGTCTTAAGGTCACAATGATATTGACTAGCAATGGGTTAAAGAGCATTTCAGTTCCAAGATACTGGTTTAAATCGGATTGGGTTGATAATGGCCCAAATTAATCATCACACAAAGACCTTTCAATGAGCTGTATCAAATGAGATGAGGGTGCTAATTCCAGTTGCTAGCAGGCAACTGACCACACCGTAAAAACTGCCACCAAAATTAGTGCTCATTGGCAGCGTTCAGAATTCACATGGACTTTTAATACTGTGGTTCAGAAGTTGTTTAAAAAAGGAAGTAAAAGTAAAGGATTAAACACAACCTTAACTTTGAATTTCCTGGATGTCATCAATCTGTGGGTATGTCTACACTACAAAATTAATTTTTAGAAATCGATTTTATACAGTCGATTGTGTATGTCCCTACTAAGCACATTAAGTCGGTGGAGTGCGTTCTCACTACTGTGGCTAGCATCGACTTACGGAGCGGTGCACTGTGGGGAGCTATCCCACGGTTCCCGCAGTCTCCACCGCCCATTGGAATTCTGGGTTAAGCTCCCAATGCCTGATGGAGCAAAAACATTGTCGTGGGTAGTTTTGGGTACATGTCATCAGTCGCCCCTCCCTCCAGGAAAGCAACGGCTGTCAATCGTTTTGCGCCTTTTTTCCTGGGTTACCCATGCAGATGCCATACCACGGCAAGCATGGAGCCCACTCAGCTCACCATCACGCACTTTAAAAGCTCGCTGGTGCTGTTTGCTGACTAGGTCAGACCTCAGCGCAACCAACATTCCCACTGTTATTGCTGCTTGCAGTGTGCTCTAGAATATCTGAGAGAGTAAGGGGGAGACGTTTATGGTGGGGTGGGAGGTTGAGGCACCTCCTTCGTTGATTTTAATTCCCTGTAAGCCAACCACCCTCCCCCCTTCGAAATAAAGTAACTATTGTTTTGAAACCATGCATTCTTTCTTTATTAATTAAAAAAAAATGAGAATGGACAAGGTAGCCCCGGTGAAGTGGGGGAGGAGGGAAGGACACGGCCACATTGCTTATTGTAGCCACACTAAAAATCAAACTGTTTGAATGACAGCCTTCTGTTGCTTGGGCCATCCTCTAGAGTGGAGTGGCTGGGTGCCCGGAGCCTCCTCCCCGCATTCTTGGGCGTCTGGGTGAGGAGACTATGGAACATGGGGAGAGACGGTTATACAGTGGATGCAGTGGGGGTCTGTGCTCTTGCTGACTTTCCTGCAGCTCCAACAGACACTTCAACATGTCCGTTTGCTCCCCCATTAGCCTCAGCATCGCGTCCTGCCTCCGCTCTTTGCGCTCACTTAATTCTTTCCTGGCCTCTGCCACTGAATGCCTCCATGAATTAAGCTGTGCTCTATCAGTGCGGGAGGACTGCATGACCTCGGAAAACATGTCATCACGAGTGCGTTTTTTTCACCTTCTAATCTGCGATAACCTCAGGGAAGGAGATGATAGGGGGAGTGTAGAAACATTCTACGCTCTACGATTCTGGGGGGACTGCATGGTCACCTGTGCTGCTGAGTTTGCCAAGCTGACCAAAGAGGAAATTGAATTCAAAAGTTCCTGGAGCTTTTCTTGTGTACCTGGCTAATGCATCGGAGTTCAAAGTGCTGTCCAGAGCGGTCACACTGGAGCACTCTGGGATAGCTCCTGGAGGCCAATACCGTCAAATTGCATCTGCACTACCCCAAATTTGACCCAGCAAGGTCAATTTTAGCACTACTCCCCTCGCCAGGGAGGAGTACAGAAGTCTATTTTAAGAGCCCTTTAAGTTGATGGAACGGGGTTGGTTGTGTGGACGCATTCATTTTAAAATCGACCTAACGCGGCTAAATTCGACCTAACCCTGTAGTGTAGACCAGGCCTGTATTGTGGATCCAACCTTACAGCAGAAACCCACTAACTCCCATTACTGACTTGAATTACTGACCACTGTGGACTACTGAGTGATGTAAAATGGACTGATAAAAAGGAAAAGCAGGAACTGTATAAAACAGTAGCGTATTGGTCTAATTATCAGGTTTGAAATCCCTAGATTTTCTAGAGCTAGAGGTCTGAATCCTGGCAGGGACGACTCAGCCATTAATCTTTCCGAAGCTGATAAACTGACTATCATACATTTTAATGGACAAGACTGAATCTCTAGGGCCTAATTTTCAGAAGTGCCAAGCACCTGCAAGCTCCCACTGACTTCAGCTGGAGTGTGGATACTCAGCAAGCCTGGCCACTACATCCGGACATGGGCGGATCCCATGGCACTTTTAATATTAGGGATTTGGCTGTTATTTTTGTCTCCAAATTCATCTCCCTACCATTATACAAATTGCTGTGTGTTTGGGGACAACCACCTTCCACCCCAGGTATGTTCTGCTGGGGGGTATGGCTTGAGAAGCACTTTGGGATCCTTTTGATATGATAGGCATCTTATTAAAGTAATATGAATAAGGCTGCGAGTCTGTCACGGAGGTCACGGATTCTGTGACTTTCCGTGACCTCCGTGACTTCTGCAGCGGCTAGTGCTGGCTCAGGGGCTGCTCGAGCCAGGCAGCCCCTGGGCCAGCAGCAGCAGTTTGGGTGTGTGGGAGGGGGCTCAGGGCTAGGCTCCCGGCCAATGGGAGCAGAGGCAGCCGGCACTTGTGGCGGAAGCAGTGGAGCCCCTGCCCTGGCCCCTCTGCCGCCTAGGAGCTGCAGGGACGCAGAGTCGGGCAGGAAGCCTCTGCCAGCCCCACCAACCCTCCCCACCTCCAGCACCAGCGCAGTTCCCGGGTCACCTCTCCCAGCACCTGTGGCGCCCTGCCCACGTTTTAGTCACGGCGGGTATTTTTAGTAAAAGTCATGGACAGGTCACGGGCCCGTGAATTTTTGTTTACGGCCCGTGACCTGTTCGTGACTTTTACTAAAAATACCCGTGACTAAAACGTAGCCTTAAATATGAATCACAAAAGGGCAAGTTTACTGCTTTAAAATTCTGTTTCACATCCCGAAGAACAGTCTGCAGGAGCAGGGGGCCCTGTATCTCTAACAACATATCTGAAGTTTGTAGAGTCACTGCACGTTTTGGGATTGGTGAGTCATCTCAAGGCGACTCAATGAGATTTCCTGCATTTGTAACATAGCCCTGGGCATTTAATTTCCTTGTTTACAAACAATGGGGACGGAGTGTTACAAAAATCCTGCAATGTATAAAAGGAGTTGTTAATAGGCTAGGAGGGAGCTTGAAGGATTAGTTCTGAGCTATGCACACAGGCAGAAAAAGAGACAGAGAGGCTGAAACATTTGC